AAAATTAAAATTCAAGTATTCTTTATAGTTATATTAATAATAATAAGTGAATTGAAGTTGAAACAATAATTGTTAAAGTAAAATATTTTAATTATATATAAATTAAAATAAAAAATAATAAAATATAATACTTAATTATTATAAATTTAAATAAAATTAAATTTATATAAATTTAAATAAAATTAAATTCATACGAATTCCAATAAATTAAATATTAAGAGATATAAATATATATAAATATGAATATTATATTATCTGCAAATATTTATTTATAATATTTATTTTCTACTTATTATATATTTTATTATTGAATATTTGTAGATACGGATTTTTTTTTACATGCCTTTCCTCACTTCTTTTTCAATTTTTCAGTCTTTTTCCTACGTATATTGGGTAACATTTTTTAAAGTTTAGTATTTAAAAGTTATGTTGAATATTAATTAGTAAATTTATTTAAAAGGATAACATTCAACAGCGGAACAACAATATATGGTACTTGGGTGACCCCTACACAAGAGATCAATGAAAGCTACCAAAAGAAAAATATGGTTTTCCCTATCTCAAAAGCCAAGTTCATCATCTTAATTTTTGTTATTTGTCTATATCTTGTTTAAATCTAGACTAGTCTAATCATATTAAAAATGAAATATATTATATCTTTTCTCCCATAGAAGAGATAACTCTGAATGTTGGGAGCATATGACAACAACAACAAAATTGATAAAAATAAGTGATTATGCAAATTGATTGGCTACCTCTAATTGATAACCATTTCAAGATGTTGTGTTGTCAAATAGCATTTTCTGGACCATATCTTTTAGGAAAATATCTATATACTATAATTAAGAATGAGGATGCAAAACACGTTATGGATACTAAAGTTCCATATAGTTACTGGCTGAGAAGCAGTTATCCAATCATGCATCACAAACCTTCTAAGGACCCATTAAAAAAGCACATGTACAATTATTTATTGCTGTCCTTTTGTCTCTTTTATTGTTTGCATGCATGGCTGGATTTACATTTATTTCAAGGGAACCTATTTATTTATTGTTAAATTTGGACACCACAATATCAATATTCAATAGTCCTATGCCTATGCGGTTTCCTACTACTTTATTTTTCATTGCACAGTGTCAAAAATAATAATAAATTGTATTATAATTAAATTTATAATAATTAGCTAAATATTTTTAACATATAAATATGTTTTAGTTTATGAAAAATGTTTCTTATTATAATATAATTTTGTTTTAACTATATATACTCTTTCAAAAATATTAAAATTAAACTTAAAAATAAAGATAAAAATAATAAATTAAAAGACATAAGTTGTTTTATTTGTTAAGAAAAATATTCAAAAATATCTTTGCTATATAGAAAAGGTTCTAGTCTTGGTTCCAAATTTTGTAATTCGAAGATTCCTCTAACTTATCTATACAATCATCTCACTCTCACCGCAACAATGTATATTCTACAACTTTGTTTTATACTTATCTTTTATGAAGAAAAGAAGAAATGAGAAGAGGTTTGAAGTGTAAAATATTAAGATGTAATATATAATTAATAACTTTGATTTCGTAAATGTTGAAAACCTTGGTAGCAAAAGTTGAAGACAAATTAACTTTATGTGTGAACACAAATTTCAGAATGGATATTCCTCTAACTTTATATATTACATAATTGATAATTCAATAAAAGGAAATCAGTAACTTCTGACATGGCTGGACCTGACTCTTCTATCATATCCGTGTAGCATGTTTAAAATATAACACTCATATATTATTGAGGTTTAAATAAAACTTCAATCAATGTCATTCTCATTAGAATAACATGTAAGAAACATTTTTTTATACTTCTGATATTTTAAATTTTACGTTTTTTTACTAAATAACTTAAATTTGTTCTTTGTTTGGAGCCAACATAAAATAAAACCTAAATAATTAAAAAAAATGTCAAAGAGGGTGTCGTTTTAATTTTTTAAGTTGTGTTAATTTGTAATCTTCTGCATTAACGTACACATTTTGGTCATGTATAGTATGTTGCTTAAATAAATTTATAATCTCAACTATTGTAACTCATTATTACGTGTTATGACTCGAGTGTCGTACGAAGACACTTCTCTTAATAACGTGAGTAACTTGAACAGTCTTCCGACATTTTTTGTGTTTTTGATTTTTTGAATATAGTATATGATATTCCAATTTCTGACTCACCCGTGATCCAACACAATCATGAATATTTATTTTTTGGAGAATGACATAAGCATGATTATAAATAGTGATAAATTATACAGTTTTTTTTCTTCTTTTTTTATTTATTTTATTTTCTCCGTCTCTGCTATAGTATTTTTTTTATTTTGGACCGGATCTATTATAGGATGATTGAACAAATCAAGGTTGAAACAAATTTCAATTGTGATCCATGCTTAATTAGTAATTTATTGCCTTTCATATTATGCAAATTCAAATAGTAAAGCAAGAAATATACTAAAAATAAAAATGCCAAAAGCATGGACCAGCCATTCTTTTAAGAAGTCAAGAGCAAATCTTGGCCACGTTGCCATCTAGCTAGGATTATAATAACGTTGGACATTTCAAAAGTCCAAAATCAATTATAGATAATTCTCAAGAGAATAAAAAGCATTTACACACACGCAGTCAATAATAGATTAAAATGTGAATTTGAAGATAAGAAAAATTAAAATAGAAATTCCTTCATTTGATATTTGTTATCTTATTATTTAAAATTTAAATAAATGTGAATTTGAAGATAAGAAAAATTAAAATAGAAATTCCTTCATTTGATATTTGTTATCTTATTATTTAAAATTTAAATAAAATATTTATTTTAATTAATCTTTGTTTTTATTTAATATTTTAAAGTTTCAAGAACCAAAACTGTTATGGATTATTTTATTGTGACCAAGTCTTATGGACTTTCTTTTGCTGTGACCAAGTCTCCAATTTTCTAATTGGTTAGTAATATCTAAGTGTACAACATACAATTTTTTGTTGTTATCGGTAAGCATGCAAAAGAGTGGTGCACATCCTTTATCTTGCATAAAAAGTCTTTAATATTGGGCCTGTATGTATAGGCATTGGTACGTGAAAAAAAATATATAGAGAACTATATAACAAATTTACTTATCTCTTCCTCAAAATTATTTCTATTACTAAAATATATTTTTTGGAGTGGTATTTTTTGGTTCAGGAATCTTTCGCTGCACTCAGTCTAACGAGTTGACGTATTTTGAGAGAGAAGCGCATTATAAAACTCAAAATTACTAGTATAGTAGGGGCATTTTCTCTCTAAGGATAGCACTCTCGTACTTCATCCCAGACTACTCTAATCTTATTCTCTAATATTTTAATTACTCTTTGTGTTTAATTAGTCGTTACTGATTGTTCTGATTTTAATTTTAAAGTATTTATTGTGTTGTTGATATTGGTCTTATTGATAAATCTAAATATTTATTTTTTATGTGCTCTATAAAGTTTTATTTCCAAGAATCTTAGAGAGAAAAATACTTCATTTCTTGTTCAATATCAACATCTCTGCAATGAATATTTTAAAATCTTCGAGCACTAAGTCAGAAAAATTTAATGGTAAAAAATTTTTATGCTAGCAACCATAGATGAAATTTTGGCTTACAGAGTTGAGTTTATTTTCTGTTATTTTAAATGGAAAATCTAAAAAATGTTTTGATGGCGCCTTGGTTAAAGTTAGCTCTTCTGATGATACTTCTAGTGATAAAGATATTTTATGTCATGGTTGTATTTTGTATAATCTATCTAATAATATTTATAAAATATTTTGTTATACAAAAATTGTTTTAGAGTTATAGGACGCTTTTGAACTAAAGTATGGTTCTGTTGAAAAGGATTTAAGAATATACTCTTGTGAAAAAATAATTTATGGAAAATCCTTCTATGACCAAGTTCATGAATTTGAAAATATTATTTATGACATGAAGATGAAAGAAATTACTTTACCTTATATAATGTTTGTTAGTTTGTTAATTTCTAAATTTCCTCCTTAGTCTAAATTTGCAAGAAGCCTTAAGCATAGACCTAATCATTTCACTTTATTTAATTTATTGGCTACCTTGCGAATTGAAGATAGACATTGTATTTCACAAAAGGATTCTCGTAAACCCCTTTTTCAGGCTAAGGCTCATTTAGTGGAAAACTCTAATAAGCCTAAACAAAAAATTTTCAAAAAATTTGGTTTTTCCAATAATAATAAGTTTGTTCAAAGCTCCCATTTCTCCAAAAATATAAACAAGGCTTTTAATAACAACTACAAACCAAAGAGTAAAATTCAAGAAAATTAGTCATTTTGCTTTGTTTGTGGGAGAAACAATCATTTTGCTAAGGATTATTTTCATCGTTGTCGTTGTCAACCGGAAGACATTACTTCTGATCCCAAATCATTGTCTCAGTCTCAAACTAATGTTATTACCGCTAATGTTAACTCGAATTCCCCATTTAACGGGTATCATGTCACTAGCCCAAAGTTAAATTTTATTTATAACTCTAATGATTAGTGGATTGACTCTGGAGCTAATGTTCATGTGTGTGCTGATAAAAAATTATTCTCTTTATACCAGGAATGTGGCACACGTACTATAAGCATGGAAATGGGAGCCTAGCATGCGTCATTGGTCTAGGCCGAGTAGAATTAGAATTATCTTCAGGAAATTGTCTTGTTTTAGATGAAGTCTTTCATGTTTTTGAAATTATAAAAAAATTGATTAGTGCTGCTTTGTTAATTCAACAAGGTTTTAAAGTTGTTTTTGAATCCAATAGAGTTGTAATTTCTCGACATGGTTCTTTTGTTGGGAAAGGATATATTTGTGATGGTTTGTTTAAACTTAATCTCATGTTGTCCTTTATTAATAAAAATTCTAGCATTTCTTCATCTTCTATTTCAAATGTTGAATGTTGTGACACTTGGCATGGTAGACTTGAACATGTTAACTTGAATTCTATTAAAAGAATGATAACTATTGATCTTATTCCTAAATCTTTTAATATATTGAAACAAAAATGCGAAGCTTGTGTTCAAGCTAAACAACCTAGAAAATCTTTTCAAAATTCTATCCAAAAGGAAACTTGCTTGCTTGAACTCATTCATAGTGATATATGTGATAACAATGGTGTTATTACTCGTGGTGGAAAGAAATACTTTATTACCTTCATTGATGACTTCTCAAAATATTCCTATGTATACTTGATTATTCATAAACGTGAGTTATTTGATAAATTCAAAGTTTATAAAGCAGAAGTTGAAAATCAATTAGAAAGAAATATTAAATTCTTCGTTCTGATAGAGGAGGAGAATATTCTTCTAATGAAATGAGTGAATTTTTTGAATCACATGGCATTATTCATGAAGTCACTCCACCTTATGCTCCTCAATCTAATGGTATTGTTGAAAGAAAAAATCATACTCTGTTAGACATGATAAATGTTATGCTTATAAGTTATGGTTTGCCTGATAATTTGTGGGGGGAAACTTTGTTTACTGCATGTCATATTTTGAATAGAATTCCTTATAAAAATTCTGATAAAACCCCTTATGAACTTTGAAAAATATAGAAAACCAAATTTGAAATATCTTAAAGTGTGGGGGTGTCTTGAAAAGGTGAATATTCTTATTAATAAGAAAAGAAAAATTGGTCCCAAGACTATTGATTGTGTTTTTTTTTTTGATATTCTTTACATAGTACTACTTATAGATTTTAGTTATCAATGAAGTTACTAAAATTTCTAATAATATAATTATGGAATTTATAGATGTTTTCTTTGAAAATATTTTTCCTTTGAAGAATAAATTGTCTAAACCTGTTTATGATACTTCTAGCTCTGTTTTACCTTCTAGTAGTATTGTTAACAAGGATTTTGAACTTAGAATTAGTAAAAGAATTAGAAAAGCTAAAGTTTTTGGTCCTGAACTTTATTCTTTCTTACTTAAAAATGATCCTAAAACTTATAGTGAAGCTATGAGATCTGTTGATGCATCTTTTTGGAAAGAAGCCATTAATGATGAAATGGATTATCTTAAAATCAATAAAACTTGGTTTTTCACTAACCTCCTCCTGGCTACAAAAGTATAGGTTGTAAATGGGTTTTTCGGAAGAAAAAAAAGTTAAGAATAGATGGCTCCATAGATAAGTTTAAGGTAAAACTTATTGTTATTGGTTATAAACAAGTAAAAGGTGTACATTTATTTGATACATATTCTCCTATTTCTAAAGTTACTTCTATTAGAGTTTTAATTGCACTTGCATGTGTTTTTAATTTGGAAATTCATCTAATGGATGTAAAAACTATTAGCTCAACAAAGAGAAATGGAAGAAGTTGGCAATAATCCCATGTCGTTCACTCAATGATCATAACCCACTCAATTTTATTTTTCTTATTTTTTTATGTATCTGACCTGGAAAATAGGTTGTAAGTTTGTTATTGGGTGAGTGTGGTTATATGTACTGCATCCCATACCAAGTGTCTCTTAACAGAATATTATTCCTTGTTCACATGCTATCTTCTTTTCTTCCTGATATGGTACCAGAGCTTTAAGCTCTGCTACACAATAACAATGGATGCAACCTTGAATTAATCAAGTCCTTATTATATCCACCCGAACGAAAGTCCTACTGTCGTAGTGGTTTCACCGTTGCTGACCGGAGAAAATTATCACACATGGGCAAGATCTATGAAACGTGCCTTGGTCTCGAAAAATAAATTCAAGTTCATTGACGGAACAATTGAAGTTCCAAATATTTGTGATCCAAATTATGAAGCATGGGATCGATGTAATAATCTCATTCATTCTTGGATTTTAGGTTCGTTGTCTCCATCAATTGCTCACATTGTCATTTATATAGAAAATGCTATTGAAGTTTGGAATGATTTAAAGGAAAGGTTCTCTCAAGGAGACCTCATCAGAATCGCAGAACAGCAACAGGAGTTGCATAACTTGAGGCAAGGTACATTGAACGTTTCTGAATATTTCACTGAATTGAAATCATTATGGGAGGAATTAGAGCATTATAGGCCAATACCTCAATGTACTTGTCCTGTAACATGCACATGTCTAACTATGAGAAATTCCAGATTATATAGGCAATAAGATTATATAATTCGTTTTCTGATGGGATTAAATGATTCTTTTGGGGGTGTGAGATCCCAAATTCTTCTTATGGATCATTTACCAACATTGAACCGAGTCTTCTCAATTTTACTACAACAGGAAAGGCAACATCAACATGAAGTTGTAAATGATTCAAAGGTCTTTGCTAATGCAGTTGAAAATAAGAAATCCTTTGGTAGAGGAAGAGGTTCAAATTTCAAGAATGGAGGCAGAGGAAATGGTAAGATGTGCACCTATTGTGGGAAATCTGG